AATAAAGCAGACTTGACTTGACTTGATGTATATGCTTTATTTTTTACGAATTGAATTAAAGGGTTAATTCACCCAAGAATGAAAATTAGCCCATGTGTTACTCACCCCCGAGGCATCCTAGGTGTATACGACTTCATTCTTTCAGACGAATCCAGTCGGAGTTATATTAAAAATTGTCTTTGATCTTTCAAGCTGTTTAATGGCACTCAGCCGGTGTTGCATGCATCAGTCCAAAAGAAGTTCAATAAAAAGCGCCCATCCATAAAAAAGTGTCTCACACGGCTCCGGGGGGTGAACAAAGGCCTTCTGTAGCGAATCAATGCGTTTTTGTAAGAAAAATATCCATATTCAAAACGTAGTAATCCCTTTAATCACAGTTGTACACGGAAGCAGCTCCGGGAGCATGAGGTATAAAGTCAGCGCTGCGCATGCGCTGCTCAGAAGTGATGCACGCGGAAACACAGCGGAGAGATCAAAACAAAACAACGGTCACTTATTAGAAGTACAAAACGAGGATTTGTAAAGAAGAATGTCGGAGGATTTGGATATAAGCCAAGAGGAGACTGGTGTTCCTTTGCTAAAGTAAGGAACGTTTCCTTCCTTTGCTGCTGTTAACAAACGTTGTTTTCCACGAGACTCACCGGCGCATGCGCAGCGCTGACCTCATACGTCATCCGCCGGAGCTGCTTCTGTGTACAGCTGCTGCCGCAAGTGATTACTACGTTTTGAATATGGATATTTTTCTTACAAAAACGCATAGATTCGCTACAGAAGGCCTTTGTTCACCCCCCGGAGCCGTGTGAGACACTTTTTTATGGATGGGCGCTTTTTATTTAACTTCTTTTGGACTGATGCATGCAACACCCGCTGAGTGCCATGAAACAGCTTGAAAGATCAAAGACAATTTTTAATATAACTGGATTCGTCTGAAGGAAGAAAGTCGTATACACCTAGGATGCCTCGGGGGTGAGTAAAACATGGGCTAATTTTCCTTTTTGGGTGAACTAACCCTTTAAGAATTTTTTAAGAATTAATATATTTTTTTTCCAAGGCATTGTTAGATGCCCTATCATAACTATGCAAAGATTTTTTTTTTTTGCCGTAGAATTTTTATTACAAAGTTGCACTTTTACATTTTATAACATTCACATCCTACACCCAACCCAATGATCCCAAATAAAAACAGAAGGACATATGACAAAGGTTCAATTACGTAACTAATAGGGGCAAATAAATAAATAAAAACAATAAATAATTAAAATATAATAAGCATAATACATAACTATGTAAAGATTTGATTTCAAAATCAGTAGCTATTAAACGATTGCTTGTTATGATTTTATATCGGTATGTAACCTCAGAATGATCTCAGGTGCTAAAGTCTGATTCTGTGTTAAAATTAAATGATTATAATATCTTTATTATGAATGTCTGACAGTTAACCCTGCCTTAAATGTTTCAAAATAATGTTTAAAATAAAACATTCGTTAGAAATTTAGACGGGCAGTCAAAAAGTAGTTACATTAATAAAGTAATTGAAACAGTTACACTGCTATTGCATTTTAAATACTTGTATCTGTAACCTGATACATTTCCAAAGTAACCTTCCCAGCTCTGGAAATATATACCTTTTTCTTTTTTTTGTGGTAAACCCTAAAAATAGTTCAATCCAAAAGAATTG